TCAGTCTTTATAGCGATTATTACTACCCACTTACTTTGTCAATTGTAGGCGAACCCTCCTGAAGCTGAATTTCAAGGGACCATAGCCAAGCTCAAAAAGAGAAATAAAATTTCGTCGTTGCTTGTTTACGTCCTCCATAAAACGCGAAATTAGGCATTTTCACGTCGCAGTCGTGCAAAAACGGGAAAGAAATGTACAAAAAAGTGTGATGCACGTGCGAAATTGCGGTTTTGCTAATTAAACCTATTGTTTTTTTTGACGTTCTCGTTGTCGTCCGCGTCGTTGGATCTTAAAGTCCCTATTGTGACGTCAAAACGAGCACGGTGACCCCCACTTTTTATTACTTTTTTATCATCTTCTTGACTTGTTACATCAGTGTACCAAGTTTCATCTACAATCTATGTTAGGTTCTTTTACTAAGGAATCACCTTAAATCTCCATCTTGTTTACGTACATGTAGTAAATTCATCATACAGGCCCCATATGCATGAAAATGAACGTACGCGAATGAAACGGAATACTTTGGGACAGTGTAGTTTTAGCGGCCTCTTTGCTTTTATAACAAAAATTTAATGTTCCAGTCTGTTTTAAACGTTAGCATGTCAACGCGCACAGCCACTGAATGAAAACAATGGTCACGATCAAGTTCTTTAAAAGCCAACCAGTGAGTTTGTCTAATGGTCGTGGGTCGTGGGTACAAGTCGTCGGTCGTGAGTGTGGGTGTGGGTAATGATTAAAAATTAATTTTTAGTCATAATTAATGATTAACAATGATACTAATTTTTATTAAATATTAATAACTTACAATATTACAAGTTTTTGATTTTATTAACTACTCGATAACTAATAACGTAACAAAACAAACATAACACAATGTTTGAAAATGGGTGGGGTTGGGTAAAGGCGGGAACCCATGGGAGCTATTTTCAGGACTGGTGTAATCTCTTGATAATATTTTGAGAAAATTTGTTTTGGTCAAACGTTTGAACAACACGCACACGAGTTAACTTAATGCTAAAAAGAGCAAATCGAAAAATGCGCTTTAAATACACGTTCCACGGAAAAAATAGGGACGTTCACCCTTTCTACGTTAAATCTGACTGGAACCCACCGGTTCAACCATCAGTAGCAAAAAGATAAAACGGTTTTCTACCGAAAGAGAAAAGAACGCAATAGAAACAAAGGGAAAATGCGTTACAACAACATAATTGAGTCACACGGAAATACACATCAGAAACCTGTCAAATGAACAACTGACAGATGAGCAAATCACTCTGCTCTCCCGGGGTTTAAAATTTATCCCTACACCCGTAAGGACCCGTAACAACAGAAAGCAACATCAGGCGAGAACTCCTAAAAGATTTTGATCTCTTTGCTAGACGAATGCGCCTCCATTACATATATTACGGTAAAGAAAGAGAGCCACATCCATTTCACGTGAAATCAGACTGGAATCCACCAGTCCAGCCTTCTGTGGCTTTAGGAACCTTCCTAGAAGAAGTGAAATTAGAGCTCGCAGAGATTCAATTCAAGAAACCAAAACCTAACCTCACACCCGGAGAGCTACAATGACTTAAACAATTGTCGCGTGACAAAAACATTATGCTCAAAAAGGCAGACAAGGGAACAACCGGGGGGGTACTCCCATACATTACCTATACGGGTATGTGCCACCCAACGGGGTCGTGATTTTGAGGCTCCTGATTTAGAACGGGGTATCCATTTCAGAGGCGTTTTCTAGAACGGGGTATACAAAATTGTGGATCACGGCTTTATCTCCTCCTTAAAATTGTTGCCGATTATGAAGAAGCATTTATTTGATGTATAAGTCGAACAAATAAAGAAATATCTTTTGCAAAAAACAGGGCTATTTCAATTTACAAACTTTCTAGAACGGATTATGAAAAATTGGCCCATTTCTAGAACGGGGTATCAGTTTTATGGCGAATTCTAGAATGGGGTATAAAAAATCGGCCCATTTCTAGAAAGGGGTATCAATTTTAGGGGAAATTTTTTTCGAACGGGGTGCCAATTTGTAGTCCCGGGCGGTACATACCCACCCAAAAAATACCCAAGTGCCCCCCCCCCGGGAACAACATCCGTCATGATGAGCAAAGAAAGTAAGATAAACGAGGGTTTAGCTTTGCTGAAGGAGAAGAACAATTTTCAATCCCTCACTCAACCTATGGTTGAAACCACAACCAGAAAAGCTACGCAGCTAATTAAGTCGCTGTTGCAGGAAGGCCACATTGACCATATGGCAGCCAAATGGCTATCCCTAACGCCTAATCCTCCGCGTATCCCTATTTTCTACACACTTACAAAGATTCACAAACCGACGCCTTACGGTAGACCTATAATATCAGGGTGCGATGGCCCCACGGAGCGAATATCTGCATTTGTAGATCGACTCATTCAGCCAATGGCACAGAAACAAGACTCGTATCTAAAAGATACGACAGACTTCCTGAATTTTATTGAGAGTACAAAATTGCCTAAAAATACAGTCCTAGTGTCTATGGACGTTACTAGTCTCTACACCAACATACCACACGAAGAGGGCGTAACCACCGTATGTTACGCATACGAAGATTTTTATGGAGACAAAGCCCTATACAGGGGCACCCAACGAGAATATAGTTCAAAACCACTTAAACATAGCATTGTCAAACGTGTTTTAGTATTTAAACGGTGGATATGGGCATATTTTTATCCCCTATAAATTTTTTATCTGTTCGGATTTCCTAGATGAAAGTCTAGTGATCCGAAATTTATAGGGATCAAAACTTACCCGTTCGAAAATTTCAGCCAGAAAAAAGGCTCCCGAAAATTCTAGGTGACCTTTTCAGGGTAAAAATCCGTTGAAAATGGGCAATTTTACCATTTTTCAGATGTTCGAAAATCCTAGGAGAGGCAGGCAAGCAAGAAATTTTACAACAAACGTTCCGAAAATTCTAGATCTCAAATCGTCTTCCGAACAGATATTTTCCCGAAAATTGTCGTTGGGTGCCCCTGCTTATACCCACCAAGTACCTTAGAGAAATTCTCTACCTTATATTAACAGAAAACTCCTTCCAATTCCGCGGTAGCAACTACCTACAAACCCATAGAACAGCCATGGGAACAAAGATGGCCGTTGCTTTTGCAAACATCTTCATGGCCGGAATAGAAAGACAAATATTGTGTCAGAGTTGCATCAAACCGCTTTTTTGGAAAAGGTATATGTCTTTCAAGCTTGCTTCTTCGATGATAATACACGAGATTAACATTGCTACTGACGATGAATAAATATGATGGTTGTCTCCTCCTTCTTTTTATTATTATTATTATTATTATTATTATTTTTTGGGGGGGTTATTACAGCTAAGACATTGCTAATTTGAAAAGCGATAAGGATAAAAAACCTGTTTGACAGGTTTGTCTAGTGTACGATAATATTGAGGAGACAATACTATCAGTGTTGAAAACTGGTTTGCTCTGGTTTTTCTAGGCAACCCTCAACTTGTTCCAACTCGTTTGACAATGACATCAGTGTCTTCTCATTGGTTCTTTACTTCTCACTTACACACTTCTCTCCTCACTTTTCATTAAGTACTGATACCATATCCCTCACTTACAACGATACGTCTGCATGTCATGATAACCCTCCTGTAGCTGGACAACTTGCATCTCATTATAAACCCTCTCCTGTACCTACATGACATGCCATCTCAATCCACCTCAGGGGGGCCCTGCATCTATTTGAATACATTAATAAAATTTGTCTATCCTTTCGGGATAAAGCACTTGCTTTAGTAGCATACAAAATTCATAGAAAAGGCATCATGCCAAACAAACATCTACTTCAAAAGAGCTGTAAAAGGCTGCAATTTTTTCTTTTGTGGGATGGCAGGACTATCAGCCATGAGAAAATGCAAAATTTCTTGGCAGGTAAAATTTTGAGCTTCTAACATCACATTTTAAAATGAATATTTGGTATATCCGACTGACATTCTTAGACAGGGGGGGAGGTAATTGTGCTATATCCTTTCAATATTCAGAATTGGCGTTTCTTTTACTTGATTAGAAAATTCTAGCGCTATGCTAATAAGGAAATAATTATAGTAAACAAAGATTGGCCTATTCCTAGCAGTGTGCACCATCTCAAACACTCACAAGGGACTGTTGAGAAAGGTGTCCAAAGTAAACAGGATTAAACCAAAATAACAAGAAATGAGAATAGCTTTTGTCGAAGGCGGTGGAAATCAAATAAATGAAATGTAAAAAACTGAATGTGATTGTGATGGTCCTAAATTGAAGAGCTGGAGTTTTCTATTTCGAACAAAGGTTCGATTCGAGGAGAGTTCGGAATCCTTATATCTGGCGCATCCAGGACCTACGGATGCCACGTGAGGGCTGTTTTGATTTTCAGCTTGTTTGATAAAAGTGGACACCCCGAATGCTATTAATTGTTTTCTGAACTTTGAAAGATGGATCGGTGGAGTTCAGCAATAAAATTGCACCATACCCCGGGGGGGGTGGGGAGCACTTGGGTATTGTTGGGGTGGGTATGTGTCGCCCGGGACTCCAAATTGGCACCCCGTTGTCGAAAAAATTTCCCCTAAAATTGATACCCCGTTCTAGAAATGGGCCAAATTTTTACACCCCGTTCTAGAATTCGCCCTAAAACTCATACCCCCATCTAGAAATGGGCCAATTTTTTATACTCCGTTCTAGGGTGCAACAAGAGTACAACAGTTTGCTTGTTAACGCATTCAACCGTATATTTTTAAAAGCAATCTGTCCTTGAATACTTTCAAATGGCTGCTTACAAAAGTGGAGCTTTCGTGCGTTCGAAATATTATACCCCGTTCTAGAAAACGCCTCTGAAATGGATACCCCGTTCTAAATCAGGAGCTTTAAAATCACGACCCCTTTGGGCGGCACATACCTGTATAGATAATGTATGGGAGTACCCCCCCCCCCCCGGGACCATACCGCCACAGACTACGACATTGAATTCCCAACACCTTTTTTATTTCATCATCAGCAGTGGGATACAATATATATTGATTATGTAGTGCACGATTGCCACGCTCTTACAAATATCTGAAATCGATTCTAACCATTTACCCTAACACAGCCCCTTAAACAGCTTTAACCCTCTGTGGTCTTATAATATGCAAATCAGGCTCTCAACTTAATCGCTTTCGGCTGGTTTCTGACAAAGAACAAGGGGCTTTGGCTTTCCTTCTGAAACTCGAATGGAGAAATCGCAGAAGGCGTCATTCCACTTGTTAGGTATTGATGCTGTCGGTCCCCAAAACATGCCACATTTCTCGGCGTTGCTGCTAGGCTCTCTACTAGCCCAGTTCTCGTACTGCCCGGATAGTGGAGTGCCATCAACCCAATAGAACTTGTTTTCATCGTCAGCATTTCGTTCGAGCCCAATCCAGGTACCATACCATGAGTCTTGCGTCTTCGAGTTTATCAGACCATAGAGGAACTCATTTTGCGTTTCCGATGTGATAACGGCGAGATCAGCGTCCTTCTGAATCTCTTGGCACATTGTTCGAGCATCATCCCATTTCACTTCACTACTACCGTTCATGAAATAACAGAAAGAGTTACTTTCAACCCAGCCGCATGGACAACAACCTGAACAAGGAAAGAGTATCATGGAATAAAATCAGCCAATACACGTTTAAATAGCCTAACTAGGAAGGAAACAAGAGTTTAAGTAAAATATTTACAACATAGCGGTTTTACAAACTAGGTTGATTTTCACTTCTCAAGCTTTTTTAATTATTCATGAACTTATTAGACAATGACTGACGCCTATTTGGAGATCTTTAGGGTTTTCATCTAAGATCCAAAACGTTTTTCATCTGAGATCAAACACTTGCATTTTAATAAGCTTTGCACAATACATTTTATTCCACTTTACTATTTTAATACATTCGAATACTTACATCCCGCCGATAATTCTTAACTTTTAAAGAAACATTAGCAAAAGAACAACTACTCAAAACCTCCGCTTCATCTACATTCTCGGCAGTAGCTGAACACGTTGAACAACATGAATCGTGAAACAGTCCTCCCGAATCTAGAACGGGAACTCGAACCCCCCGACCAATTTGTCATTCGTAGAAAATGGATGTTGTCAATTTGTTGTTTTTTTTTTTTTTCGTGTTTTTCGTAATACTGAATGCCGACTGTATAAGAGAAAACAAACATACATACAATGTGACTTTAAACAAAAATGCAACACTACATAATTTAGCATTGTTTAGTACGACAAATCATACATGCAACGTCACTAAAAATAGAAATGTAACAATGCATAAATTACTTAATGCATGCGAACATACCATGTAATGCAATTAGCGCAGTCATGGACAGCTTTTATGACCTTATCAACCCTCAACAGATTCTTCTTTTCTTTTTTCTTCCAAGGCCTTACATAGCCTACTTAACTTTGAACTTAATTTTGAACGTATCATTCCTGGTTTCATATGAAACGATGCACGATATGCTAAAGTATAGGAATTCCTGATGTCCCCTGCCAAGTAGGATGTTATTATTTCTCCATAGTTGTTAATTTCTAAAACCGTAAATTTTAAGCAGCTTATTGGTAGCTAACTATCATATGAAATCATACAACTTACATTCAGTTTCCTAGGGTGATCTATTCAACTTAGAATTCATTAATTCGCAATTTCATTTCTTTTTAGAATCAATAATTACCCTTCGCCATCAAAACTGCTTGGAGCATAATAAAGACGATGACAAACAACGTGGTTTTCTTGATAGCCATGTTTTCCTGTCTGGTGAAAAAAGTGGTTCATTCTTAAAATTGATTCGAATGAAGACAATTCATTACAACCAGCATAATCAGGAAACTAACTTACCCCTATCTAGGCTGTTTATTTTTTTTTCGCCTTTTAGGGCAGGGTTGGGTGGGGAGAAGGTTTATCCTCCACTCATAACTCCGAGACATTTTAAGCTTTGAAAATGACATTTAGGGGACAAATAGTGCGTCGTTAAGCTGTTTCCTTTGAGATCTGTCAATAACATGATAATTAAGATTATGATCGCCAAATTGGTTTTCCCCAAAATTGAACGAAAGCACAAAACTTGAGCGAAAAGTAATCTAACCTAATAAAAGAACATTTATACAATTTGAGCTAAAAAAACTTAAACTTTACTGTGAGAAAAGTAATTATTCTTTATTGAAATCTTCATTTAAAAAGGCATTTTTTATTGTTTGAGAAAATGAGTTCCCGTAGTAAAATCAAAGTAATTAGCATTAACCAACCACATCAAATTGTTCCCAGATCAATTTCTGAAAAAATCAGTAAGCTTCATGGCGTTTACTCGAAAATTAAAAAGACGTTTTTCGGATCAAGAGTCGGCGTGGTCAGAATAAACACTTCCTCCCCGGTCTAAATAGGGTTGAAACTGTTATGATCACATTAGATTAATAGATATGGTTGGATGGATGGTGGATGAATGGACGGATGGATTGCTGGACGAATGGGTGGAAGGTGGATGGAAGGATGGATGGAAGAAGAATTCGATTGGTAACAGTTTACATACCAAAGTTCGGTCAAAATCGAATAATCGTTGTCGCAAACAGAGCAAACCTGGAAATGAAAAACATTCTGTCAATTGTCTTGAACGTAACTTCGTTTCGTTACTTATTCCACAACCTTCCTATGGCAAATTTTCTCCCTGATTGATTAAGTCGAAGTTGAAATATTCTAATCTTCGAACGTAACTATCGTTTTCCGTGCTAACCCTGTGGATTAGAGTCTGAGCAAAAAGTAATGGACAGCACGCTGCTTACTTCAGGGTGAAAACGGATCAAAACTTTCAAAGATAAAATATAACAAAGTACTGGCCGTTTTGAGCTTAGTTTGAGTTCATAACTCACTGAATAGCTGACCTACCTGTTTTGAAGATGATCCTCCAAGCTTCGCAAGAAGAATTGTCTTCTAGCTGGATAAGCAGGAGAGATATAGGGGGATATGCTGACACGTAACTCTGCTATTGGTTGCACATCTTGGGTGGTTATTTACACTTTGCCAATTGAATGTTTTCCTTTTACTGATTTTATAAAACAACAACCTGCCCAAAGCTTGGCAGATGTCAGTTTCAATCCTAATCCCAAAGCCGTTGCACCCATCCTGAGCTAAGAGAATTATTTTGGTGTCTTTTTATTTATTAAACCTATTTTAATTGCATTAGGGTTAAAATAACTAACAAGTGAACTAGTTATATATTAAAAATAACAGAAAATTTAAAAGCATTTAAAGCGACGATTCCATAAAGTTATATCATCAAACTTTCAAACTTACATCCTGGACCAGCGTATTTTGTCCAGCTGTTACACTTAATCCAAATATTAGACTTACTTTTATTTAAATTAGCGTTATTTTTTTCATATGTTTGGCGTCTTTTTATAAAACGACCACGTGTTTGGCCGTTATTTATTTTTCAGTATCATTACAAAACACGCAAGTTACGAACAATAAGAAAAGAGAAGCAAAGACTAAACTGAAAGCAGTACTCGCAGCTGCAAAACCAGTGTATTTGACGTTTAAAAAACAGTTGATTTCCAGCAAGATAAATCAACAAACTTGGGTGGGGAATATGCTGACACAACTCTGCTATTGGTTGTACATCTCGCTGGTTATTTACACTTTGTGATCTGACCTTTTGCCTTTTATTGATTTTATAGAACAACAACCTCCCCAAAAAAAACATGTCAGTCTCAATCCCAATCTCAATGCCGTCGAATCCATCCAGAGTCAGGAGAGTTGTTTTAGTGTCTTTTGATAAATTAAACCCATTTTAATTGCATTGGAAATAAAATGACTAAAAGGTTCACTAGTTATGTATTAATAATAGAAACTTTAAAACGGCATCCAAAGCGAGAAGTCCATAAAGTTATATCATCAAACTCATACGCTCGTCCAGCGTATTTAGTCCAGCTGTTATACCCAATCCAAACATTAGACTTACTTTTATTTTTATTTAAATTACGCTCGTCCAGCGTATTTAGTTATATCATCAAATCAAATTTACACGCTCGTCCAGCGTATTTAGTCCAGCTGTTATACCCAATCCAAACATTAGAGTTACTTTTATTTAGATTAGAGTTAAGTTTTACATGTGTTTGGTGTCTTATTAGAAAACGACCACGTGGTTGGTCATATTCATTGTTCAGTATTATTTCACCACAGGCAAGTTACGAACAATACGGGAAAAAAAGGAAAAAGAAAATTAAAAAGAAAGAGGAGAGGGAGCCTTAGGAGAAACCACGATAAAGCACGGCACTACATGTAGCTGAAAAACAAGTATTTGACGTTAAAAAACAGTTGAATCCCAGACCCAGAGAATCATATCCACCCTACTCTGAGGATCAGAGAGAAGTTTCTACAAATCTATTGCAAGGTCATGAACCACCTCTTATGCAAGAACCAGTGTTTGTTCGCTGTCCAAAAACCAATGGCAGCACAAGCGATCCCAGCGGAATCTTTACTCCCTCCTACAGTACACTACAACGAAAAGAAAAAAAATCCTCCTATTCGGTTTAAAAATTAATTAATTGAATGACGGTGATCGTCCTTCAAGAAGGTCCAGGCGAATTCGCAGAAATTATCCTTACAAAGAAGATTGATTTGCTGTAATAAGAACTTTGCTTTGTACTTGAATTGTCGACCGATTTAAATATACAATTTTCACTAAAATCTGTGTGTCTATCAGTATTAATTTTTGGTTTCGTTTGCTCATTAAATATTCTTATTCGACCACAAAATGCCTGTTGTTTTTTTTAAAGAACTGTTTAATCCCCAACAAAGCTCAACTGTTTTAACATAATAACCTGGGTAACGGTGCGTGAAACGAAAGACGTGGCTCATTATTCAAGTTACATAAAAAAATTGCACAACTTAGCCGACACCGTTAAAGAGTCCACCTGCTTTTAAAATACTGCTGCATCCAAATGAAACAAATTTCTAATTATTTCTAAGTAGTAGCAACGCACTTTTGAAATGTTTTTTTTAATTTGTTTTATATAGTATTATAGGGTTGTTTGTTTAGATTTTTTCCCCTGGGGTGGGGGCTTTTTTGACACTTTTGATTGACCTTTCGTTTCCCACCCTGGGGAATTAGATCAAAAAATTTTAAAATTTGTCAAATCCTCACCCCTTGCCCGCACTCTCCGCCCCCCACGGGGTTTACATTGATAGGTGCATAAGCAGTACGCGTGTTGCTGAGTTCGACTTCCTCTCGGAGAACCTCGATAGTGGATGTTTAACTTATGCTTACTCAATTTCATTTAAACGCTTTCTTTATCACATTGTGTCGTACTCATTACAGGAAAGGCGTTATTCGTCGTCGTTTATCAGGAAAGCGCTAAGATAAACGCAAAGCACGAGGCCGAAGCGAGAGGCCAGAAGCGCGAAAAAATTAATGACCGATTAACACACCACATACCAAGAACAAAACAAAACTTTATCTCAATATGAAAAAATTCTGTACGTAATTAATCACTACTTGAGGACGAATCATCAAGACCAGTCTTCTTCTCTTCATTTTGCTAGCGCTCGAGTATAAGCTTCTGCTGCTTGGTTGGCAGTAGCTAGAAACTGGGGCAGCTGGTCAGTACCTGAGTTGAGAAAGTTTTTGCGACGTAGATGCTTCCTCACGTCACTTCTTTCTAGAAATAAAAATAAAAACACCGAAAGAAAAAAAAGTGTTAATTTGAAAATATATGCCTCATTATTTGCGGGGCCTTTTGGGCCTGTCATCACACCTTTTAGACACAATATCACAGTCTGACTCACACCCGGCCGCAAGTCGCTTTATTCTTCATAAAAAGGCTACATAATAAACAGGACTGACAAACTGCAGTGTAAACATTGTACTCTAGAAAACCGGGCACATGTAAAACTTACCTTTTGTTTCCTTTCTCTTTCTGAGACTTGCGTTTTCCTTCTTCTTCGGATGCCGCCCATTGTCTGAATATTTTTGAAACTTTCAGAGGCATCCATCTTGTATCTATAGTCTCGTTTATCAATTTTTTTGACAAATTCTCCTCATTTCTTCGTCTACGCGTCCATCTCCCGACGAAGACGGCTGTCCCGCCGTCGGAATGTTGGGTGAACTCCTGTTTTGCTGAGGAAGCTGCCTTCAGGGTGCCCGCATTGGTTCCTGTTCACTTCAGAGCTCGTCTTCCACAACAGTGCACGTTGAATTTGCCCTATAAAACGAAACATTTAAATAAGAGTTCAAACTTTAAGGCGATGTGCAACTTGGGCCAAATTTTGCCGCATCTTATCATCAAGTTTCCAACATGCTTAAAACTCGATGCAACTTGGCAGTGACAAAAATCGCTGGTGGAAGACGCGGCAAAAGCTACATAAAAATCGCCTGTGTAAACGGCCCCTGCAAACATATCGTTTTTCCTCTCAAATAAGGAAATATTAACTGAAAATTCATAGAATGACATGCATTTTGAAGTATTTAAGCATACTTACTTTTTCTTGTCTTTGTTGAGGAGCAACTGAAGGAAGCCCGTTTTCGAAGGCGGTCCTGCATTCCCCTGACCCCGACCTCAGATTAGCCTGCAAAAACATCCGTTTCTCCTCGCTCTTCGCCGCTGGGGACGTTTCGTCCCCAGCGGCGAAGAGCGAGGAGAAACGGTTGTTTTCGCAGGCTAACCTCAGATGTTTAATAAAATTCACCATCCTTCCCAAGGATCTCGCATTTTTGCTTCAAAAATGTCAGCACTGCTCTCCAATCGCGCCCTTTCATTTCCACTGCTTTGACGATAATCATATCTTCCCGCTCGCTGTATTTGTGCTTGGTTTGTTTCCGTCGACGCCTTTTGTTTCGACGCATTATTCAAGCTCTGGGTCGAAAGACCTCAAGGACTTTCTATTTCCCCCGTCAACGCCGCTTTCAGAAAAATATTATTATTTTTGAACTCCATTGGCCCAAACGTCCATGCACCCACAAATTGCACTCGAAATTGAAACAATTTATAATAGTATTCCGACCTTTTCGCGAGAAATTGTAATACTCGATCATTGCTAATCAAAATATGCCTGAATAGTAGTGTCAAATTTTTACACGCATCAGTGTAATTGTTTTTAATATCAGGGTTGAGTCTTTGAAATTACGTAAAACTCGCACCTCATACAAAAATTCCCTCATAATGTTTTATTCATTCTTTATAAATTGCAATTTTTCACTTAATGTTTTGCATGGACATAAAAAAACTGCATGATCAAGTTAACTATTTTTGGTACGTATGGAAACATGCCTGATTATCCACCTCCACCATCATCCTTTCTAGTGTATACCAGTTTGGCATTGTTTTCTTTTGCTATTCCTGGCAAAAGAGGTGCTCGACAAATTGAATCAAGCTCCTCCACAACTGTTACCTCCGCCGACTTTTTTAACCCTCAGTGTCAACTATTTGTTGCTAACTTTGACGATTCTCGCCCACACTGATATAGAAGCGGAACTGTGATAAATCAGCTCTTTCCAGACTTTAGAGGAATACGTAACAGAGGGAAAGATGTATGGCAAATCCTAGAGTTCAATCCCATCGTATTTTGGTACGATGACGGGTGAGACTGCAGAAGCAATGGTGGAAAAAGTTTATCTTGACGTTACTGCGCCGAGGCACCTGCCGCACACGCCAAAAACAGACAAGAGACGCCGCTGCATTCTCGACGCTCGCAATCGCGCCCTTTTGGTCATAATTTGGTTGCGGCAGTACCTAAAATTGCATGTACTAGCCCATATGTGTCAGATTTCAAAAAGTACCGTTGCAGAAGAAATTATCTACCATATCGTCCCAGTTCTAATCTTAAATTTCAGACACTACATGTATCACATGACATAGTTATGGCGAGAGTTATTGAACACTTTCTATAGTTTTCCAATTGCAGTCGGAATGAT